GGATGCATTTCTTGTTGAATGAATAAATGCAACATCTATTAGTTTTCATTATTGACTATGACTAAATTTCCTTGGATAGATATCAATAAATAGCCACATCACCATTAGAATTCTCCACTGACATGGACAAAACTAGAGAATATTTATATGACGCTTGATATGTTCCAACTCTCAAAACCCACTGATCTATTAAAAACAGTTGGCATTTCTCCCACTTAATTCCTCACTTGGGAAGCTATGTAAATAATCTCTCAACTTTACGCCCCACCCCGTGTCCCCCCCAAAGCAGGCATCCTGATTTTCTATGATGTGAAGACAGGCAGATAGAGGCAGCTGAGAAATGAACAAAATGTGAAGGTCCCAGGCAGAAAGGAAAGCCTGGAAATGACTAGAAGGAAAAAAGAATGCACTTGTCGCATGGCCTCAATCAAAGAGATACTGGGAATCTAAGCTAGAGATTTTAATTCTTCAGAGAGACTTTAGATAGCAGGCTTATTTAACTGCAAACTGAATTTAAGAATGATTTTAACATTTGGTTTCTGGCCACTAAGTCTAGCAGCCAGTACTCAACAGTTTAAAATCATGGGAAAGTCAAATGATTTCATAAGAAAATGAAGATTTCTAGGTCTATAACTTTATTGCATCGAGTACATTAATTAGCATTCATATGGGGTTGGCTCTGCTCTCTTCTTGTTCATATCTGCTCAAGAGTTTTTAGACAGCTCTACAGACAAGGATTAATCTTAAAATGAAGAGTAATTTGCCAATTTTGAAAATATAATTTCAACAGTAAGAAACATTTTAAAATATTTTTATTATTTTTTATTTTATGTGTACAAGTGTATTGCCTGCATGTAGGTGTGTGCACCCGTATCATGCAATGCCACGGAGGTCAGAAGAGGGCAACAGATTCCCTTGGAACTGGAGTTAAGGATGGTTAGTAGCTGCCCTGTGGGTGCTGGGAATCGAACCTGGGTCCTCTGCAAGAGCAGTCTGTGCTCTTAACCACTGAGCCATCTCTCCAGGCCCAAGAAACATTTTTAAATTAAGCAATTGCCTGTCCAATGATGTCTAACATTTTAGTTGTGACATCTCAGGGGGCTTTGTTATATTCTGAAGACCTCTGTGGTCTTTAACTTGATTTTTAAAAACAACAGAACTTGAGTGAATGTCAATAAAAACCAATGAATTATAATAGTCTATCTTCTGGCATATTTGATTAGGGTTGTCAATAAACAAAAATGTATTTTCTAGGATTTCAGGCTTGAGACCTAATCTATACATTTTAATTTAATGTTCTATCAGAGGACCCTAGGGGGAGATGAGCCTTTCAGACATCTGTTGAGCTAGGTTTACAGTAAAACTGGACATGTATAGTTTTAGGATATGAGTTTAAATTCTTAATCCATGTGCATGTAAAATCTTCGTATATAGTTATGTTTTATACAAAACTCATTTTCTTAATTGTTATACCCAGAATTATCTAATCTTTTCCCCCTTCAACTCCTTGACTAACACATTAGCTCATATTCTGATGGTAAATTTGCTTTTTATCATAGAATATATATGTGTATTTATTCCAGAGTCTATAGCTGTTAAACTAGAGGCTTAGAGTTTCACTCAACACTGATGCTGTTATTCTGTCTCCAGCAGGATGATAATAAAGACTAAACTAATAGCAAAAACTAATTCAACTGTGAACCTAAAAATTTACAGCCACTTTTGAAAGAGATGTATCCTTGCTCTGGAAATTATTACTGAGTATGTTAAAGCTGTAATGAAATGCTTCTTCTAATTATGTGGTTATTAAATTAA